CCAACTTTTTTGTTGCTAAGCAAGAGTGTTGTTAAGTGAGTTTCACCACATTTTACAAGTTGGCCATGCCCACCCAGTCACATGACTGCCAATCCACTTCCACTTGGTCACATGGCTGGCAAGCCACTCCCACATGGTCACATGGCTGGCAAGCCACTCCCACAAAGCAGGCCACACCTAAAAAAGAGGTTCTAAAATTTTTTGAAACCCACCACTGGATGGAAGTCTGAGTAGATCATAATCTTACTATTGTTCATTTATTTATTTACAAATTTACCTGGGAGGAAATCCCTTTAAATAAAGTGGAATTAAAATGTTACAAGACAAGGATAGGATTTACATTTTAAGTTTGTGCAAAATGCAAACAAAAATCAAAATATTCTTCAGTGCAACCTGAAGAATGAAACCAGTAGTTTTAAAAAAGCTACTTTCTTTTCTCTAAATTATATTGCTGTGGTAGCTTTCCAGCATTTAAAAGAATCAGGCCACTTGCAGGACTTAGACCAAAAATAATACATTGTAAAAACATAAGTTTAGCAAATTTAAATAAAAATAATGAATACTTTTCTGTGTATAGAGTCAGTAGACATGTTGATGATGACTTTTTGCTAAAATAAACCAAGCTTGGGAACTAGAAGACATGATCCAAAATGAATTGGCATTATTTCTCTCAAATATATTTAATTAAAGATTAACCCTTTTTCTTGTTTCAGGGATCTCTCCAGAATAAATGTCCTGGTCCCGGGTGCTGGGCTAGGTAGATTGGCCTGGGAAATAGCTATGCTTGGTTACACTTGCCAAGGAAATGAATGGAGCCTCTTTATGCTCTTTTCTTCTAATTTTGTACTGAACAGGTATATATACCGTCTTGTACATGTGGTTCTACGCTTGTGTTTTTGAACGGGCCAGAAATGACACTGTTATTTCATGAAACTCAGGTTCTTTAACTGAGTGTTAAATGTTTGTATGTTTAATATTTCACATGCTTCTTTAAATTATTTAAATGCTAAACTAATATGCCTTTTGGATATTATATGGGGGGGGGAAATTTATTGTATTTCATATGTGCTCATTTAATCAGCTACGCTTACTGTTTTCAGATGCTATTTTCAGGGTGACAAACAGTGTTCAAATTGGTTAAATAATTTTTCAGTTGTATATAATAGGAAATGATATAGTAATGATGGGCAGTCCATGGGTTGCATAGTGCTTCTCAGCACATCAAGATTCTGCTATCAAAATTCATCTTCAAAATGGTTAAAATGTTTCTTCCAATCTTAAACCCTAACAATCATCACTAAATTGCCCTGTCTTTGCCTGATTCCAGAGTTCTTTTTATAAATAAAAGTGGAAAACTCTAGAAAGGCAAAACTGGTCTTACTTTTAAGTTCCTGAATACCCTGAAGAGGAAAAAAATGGGTCTATCCTTTCTAGATCACCTACAAGAGGTTAGACATTTGAGTTGTCTGCAATCTGTTTTAATTTTAAAGATTAAATAAAGATTAATTTTAAGCAATGAATAAAGTTGTTTAAAAGTTGTTCAAAGTTGCTTAAAAAACTAAACACCATTTCTTAGTCTTCTTAAACTTTTAAAAAGCAAATGTTTTTGTAGTTGCTTCTTTGTAGTAGGTTACAAATAATAAGTGAAACCTTGCAGCAATTATTTTTAAGAAAGAAATGTTAATTATCAAGTTGTATTTGAAAGAACACAAAATAAAATATTAAACATTGCATTTTTCAATAATAATAAATAACTTTTTGATAATTATGTTACAGATGCTGTGAAACTAATTCATGTAAATTATATCCCTGGATTCACCAGTTTAGCAATAACAAGAGATCTGCTGATCAAATACAGCCAATTTATTTCCCAGATGTTGACCCTCACAGTCTTCCTCCTGGTGCCAACTTTTCTATGACAGCAGGCGATTTTCGAGAAATCTACTCTGAGAGTAGTAAGTGAGGAGGGGCAGGAATTAGACTTGGAAAATGAAATTTGTCAAATCCTCAAAATTGAGGCAATATTAGATAATTAAAATTATTTTTTGTAAATAATTTAAAAAGCCTTAAGTTAAAAAAAAGAATGGATCTCTGTTTTTCTATTAAAGTGTGTTATAATTTTACTGAAGGATATTTAGTAGTTAGAAGGGTCTCTGATCTCATTTTTTGGGGTTGTTTTGTCAGCTAGCAAATAAGACTTGATCATACTTTAGCATTACAATAGAGAGCAGGAAGGTCTTTGTGCAAAATAATAAGATTTGATCAGCTTCTTTTTCCTTTTCTCCCAGATAGAAAATAAATACAGACAGTTCTCAACTTATGACCATTTATTCAGCGACCATTCAAAATTATGATGATGATTAACAAATGATGATTACAAGCAGACTTCGGAGTTCTGGCCATCCCAGCACTCCTGTGATCATATGATTGTGATCTGCTCACACTTAAAAGCGGTGCCTCATTACATTCCCGCCTGTCTATAAACTTCTCTGCTAGTTCAAATGGTTGAATTCTACAAATTATAAATGTATTGGATTGTTCTGCATAAGTAGACTCTTTGGAATTTACTATTTACTACACATAGTTGCAGCCAAGGAAATGAGTGAAAATTAAGACACTGAACTGAGCGCAGATAACTATTACTCTTAAGTCTTCTTTATGATGGTAAACTACAAGCTTCACTGCACAGCTAGGTTATTCTCTGTTCCTGTTTCTATATACAGATATATGGGACTGCATAGCAACCTGTTTCTTCATTGACACGGCACACAATGTCATTGATTACATTGATACAATATGGAAAATACTTAAACCAGGAGGAATATGGATCAATTTAGGTAATTTACTAGATCTTTTGAGTACTAGAAAGGACTGCAGTATTTGTACATTTTAATTTAAGTATGATATAAGGGAATTCCAGCTTGATCTAAGCATTGAATTAAGAGCATTATCAGTTTATAGGTTAAAGCGTTTGATAGTCTTGTATTTCAATTCATTTTGGGGATAGATCAACCAAAATAGAACTGGGAGGGACCTTGGAGGTCTTCTAGTCCAACTCCCTGCTCAAGCAGGAAACAGTATACCATTTCAGACATTACAATTCAAAGTAGATTGCCAGGCAGATCTTATAAAACATTTTAAAACAACAGAATCTACCTTTAAATTGGAAAAAAATGCAAATGTGCTTCAGGCATTACTGTGTATTTACCCAGGCCTTCAGATCATCTACTGAGTCCCTCCTCCAACTCCTTTCCTTAGAGAAAGTAAGGTCAGAGGGAAAATCTTTGTAGTGGGGTCCCATTCAAGAAATTCCTTCCCCAAGGAGGCTTGATTGATAACCATACTAGCATTATTTCAGTGCTAAATGAAGACCTTTCTATTTTGCCAGGATTTTTATTTTGTCTATCTTTGCATTGACTTTGAGCACAGTACAGTTGTCTTAATTTATATGGTGTGTTTGTTTTGCATTTTATTTTATATTTTTTATTCAGATTGTATTTTTAGTGTGCTTTGTAATAAACTGCCTGATGGGTTTCAGCTACTAAGCAGATACTTTTAAAAAAAGAATTAATAAATTATTTTTGATCTCAGAAGGATTTGATAAAGTTACTGCTTTTTCTAATATGTCCTAGGTCCTCTTCTTTATCATTTTGAAAATTTAGCAAATGAATTATCTATTGAATTGAGCTATGAGGATATAAAAAATGTAATATTACAATATGGATTCCATATTGAGGTAAGAAATGTTGATTTTCACATACCAATAATAATGTTAATATATAATTCCTCATTCTGTTCGTTCTTCATAGCATGATTAGTTACTATGATAGTAACAAGGTGATTAATTTGCCAATATTCCATTTTAAAAAAATCAAATCCTCAGAACATGATTTGTGCATATTTAGAGCTGCCTAAACATGCAAAGATTAGGACTATGAATAAAAACAAAATACAATAAAAGAATTTGTAGACTTCCAGGATAAGTGGAACATGCAAGTGTTAGTGGAGAGAAGGGGAGAGTAAATGTTCGTGATGGGGGACAGGATAGGCATAGTGAATGATTCTTAATTGTTTACGGACATGCTCTAACTTAAGGAAGAGAAGGGCAATTGGGAAGAACACATGAGATTAAATAATTGCTCATCCTATACCCAGGATGGTGAACCTATGGCATGTGTGCCACAGGTGGCACGCGGAGCCATTTGTCAGAGCACGCAAGGAAGCCTTTTTTAAAGCCATTTTTCGCCCTCCCTAGGCTCCAGAGGCTTTATAGGAGCATGGGGAGAGTGAAGAGGCTCCCCCCCCCGGAGGCCCTCCGGAGGCTTGAGCTTCCCTGAAGCTTCCGGAGCGCAAAAAACCGGCCCTATGGGCAAACAGGATGTTCAGGAATGGACGGTTTAAGCTCTCCGGAGGCTTCAGGGATCTTCAGGAGGCTTCCCTGAAGTGACTTCCAGTTTGCTCATACACTTGTTTTTTGCCCTTCGTTGGCTTCAGGGAAGCATTCTGAAGGTTCCTGAAGCCTCTGGAGGGCCTCCCGGGGGAGGGGAAGGGTGTTTTCACCCTCCCCAGGCTCCTATAAAGCCTCTGGAGCCCGAGGAGGGTGAAAAAAGCATGGAAAAATGGGGGGGAGCACCTCTCATGCATGCATGCGCACTGGGGGTTGCACATTGCATTATGGGTGTGCACAACCTCCTGCGCTCCCCCCCTTATGGCATACTGACCTATACTGACCTGCTGAAAAGTTTCAGTTGTGTAGCATTACAGTAGCATTTCACGTTTGAAATAAAATGCAGGTAACTAAAGAAAATACTGTTTATTTTTCAGATGGAGAATGAATCTGTTTTGACAACATACACTGTGAATGAATTATCTATGATGAAATACTATTATGAATGTGTGATGTTTGTGGTTAGGAAACCAGAAAGCAGTATCTGAAACAGACTGTCCAAAAAGAAAATTGCTGGCATTTTTGTTAACAATGTTAGCAGAACATGAAGTGGCCTGTAAGGGATGACTGGACCCAGCCTCTTATTAGTGGTGCCTTTTTATTCCTAACAGAATGTAACTATCATTATTTTTTACACTACTTAACAATATCCAAACATGCATTTCTGCATTATTTATATTTGGGTTATTAATGTGGAATTCAAATATTTATGTATCTGCTCTTTCCGTTTTTATTTAATGTAATTTTGGAAAGATTGATATTTTAATACATTATTGACATTCATGGTTCTCTGTAATATACAGAAATGTCTACTACATTTGTATGAAAGAAACACTCCTGGATACAAAACTGAATCCCCTACCCACAGACATATTGCTTAGAAAACAAATAGAAATCTCAAAGTATTTTGATCAGTATTTTAGAGATTTTTCTAAAAGGGTCTCCCCCTCCCCGCAATGAATTGCAAATACTTAAAAAAGCATCATGTGAATGTGGCTGTTTACATCTCAAAACTTTAGAAAAAGTCAGAAAACCTTTGTAAAAAAAATCCTCACGTTTGTCCTCATAAGAATTTTATACACAAAATTTATTGATACATAGAGCTGCAATCAATATTGGTTTTGCTCATACCATGTTGAACATATGGATAAATAGTTTGAAACACTGATATATGGAAGCTATTACTATAAATGTACTACTTGTCTAAATGAGACTGTAGGTAAGTTTTATAATATTTTGTCACAAATTCCAAAATGAAGATCTGGAAGCATTCCTAAAAGATGTCTGGCATTGATTCATATTGTCATTGAAAGCATTATTTTTTCATAAGTTGATACGTGGTAAAACCAAATTATTTTAAGACAGTGCTATTGGTAATTGTGCTGAACTACCCCACATTATGATATACTGACACATGTACACGAACAAACTGGATAATTATGTTTTGAAAAATGTACTATCAATCCTAGATCTCATGATGTAATTTATTGGAATCTGTCATAATTCTGAACTAATTACCATATGATGCCTTTACAATGCATAACTTGAGCACCAGCTCTGTTCAGATTTATGCATCACTCACTGCCATGAATTCTAGTTATTTAAGTGCAGTTTATGCAAGATCTCTTTAAAATTAATCCTATATAAATTTATGGAAATTAATATACCATCTCAAAACAAAGAAGTTAGGCATTATTTACACTTAATATATTGATTTAGCTTGCAGATATACTAGTCCAAAATGCTTCCAGTGAATTGAGCTAAGAAGATATAATCTAGGACACGTGACTGGCTTTTGAAATACAAAGTGCAAGAGAATCAAGATTTATGTTTTCTCTTATGCCACTAAGGCCTAGCTAACTATATGTGTCCTTTTTCAAGTCAAAAGGTTAAAGAATAATTTTGCTTCCTGCTGTACTTGAACTAGAAATAGAATATATTGCTCTATGAGCAATGTTGTTAATTAAACTCAAAATTCAAATTGACTTGTTAAGTTCCTTGGCTCAATATAAACTGCAGAATATGAAACCTTTGTGCTTTTTAAATAGATATTTTAAGGAAAACTGAATTCCCATATTAGAGCAACTTGTAGCCATTCTGTTACCCCCAATAACTCATGTAGATATATGTTCAAAGTTGCCTTTCAGTGCAAACTTACCTGAGAGTAAGTTCATTGAAGTAGGTGGGGTTAATTTCTCAGTGGATATTGGATTGTTCTATTGATATTTTTCTCCTATCTTTGCTAAATGCAGAACACAATTACTGTGTCTACTTCTATCCTAGAAAATGTTCTTTTATAACTTAAATTGTCTGAAACTACTTTGGAACTAATGTAATTTATGCATCAATGCTCAAATAATTTTTATTGTACATCAAGTGTCTTAAGTTCATTAAATTTATTTGCTTTTTACATTTTTGTTAAAATTGTAAGTATTAACCCTTTTAAGTCATTAAATTAACATTTTCTTTCCATTTTTTTTTCATTCCCAATTTGAAATTCAGTTTTCATGTAAAGTACTTCTGTGTATACTTTGAAATTCTAATTTTTGAGGAATATTACATTTTTCTTCTTCTACATGTGTACAATACTTTCACAATACAAACATAACAAAGATTACGGAAAATTGGGAATTAGGATTCATTTCCAATACTGATATGTAGAATTCATATTCTGTATCTTACAATAGAACTATCATGGGTTAATTTTTTTTAAAAATTCTTGTATGTATGTTTGCATACTTTTTGTATATTTGCACACAATAGAAAATTATCTATTTTGATCAAAGGAGGCTGGCAGTTGTGATCATTTTATGATCATGTGATATATAGCATTAAAAGGTACGTATGCAGCCCCATTAAATGAAAGTAAATTTAAAAATGTAAAATATCCTTTATTTCAAATAGTGACTTTGCAACCATCTGCGAATATTACTTCCAAGTAATGTCTCAACCATCTGGAATATTACTTCCAAACAATGCAAGTAAAGTTTAATTTTTTTCTATTGATCTATAATGGAATTTTGACCACTATTCTATTTTTTCAGTAGTGCTGACCTTGCTTCCATTGTGTAAATTATCTCTGAATACCTTTTTGTCATCATCTTTTTATTAGCTGAAAATGACATTTCTTGGTGCTTGAAAATTTGTGAATCCTGGCTCATTTAAATAACAAAATTCTGGGTATTCAGTATCAAAGCTAGATTTTCACAATGCAGGTGTGTCATGGATTAAACGAGAGATTTTGGAGTATCTAAAAAAAAAAATCCCAGCGCTGATATTTGCTAGTCTGGAAAAGATTATAAAGCTACAGATAGTCCTCAATTTACAACAGTTTATTTACTGACCCTTCAAGGTTATACCAGCACTGAAAAAAGTGACTTTTCACATGACTTTTGCAGCATCCCCATGGTCATGTGATCAAAATTCAGACTTGGCAACTGACTCATACTTATGATGGTTGCGGGGTCCTGGGGTCATGTGATCACCATTTGTGAGCCTCTGACAAGCAAAGACAATGGGGAAACCAGATTCATTTAACAACTATATTACTAACGTAACAACGGCAATGAGACACTTAACAATTGTGGCAAGAAAGGTCGTAAAATGGGGCAAAAATCACAAATGTCTCACTTAACAATGGAAACTTTGGGCTCAATTGTGAATGTAAGCTGAGGACTACCTGAATTTTCAAAAACACCACCATTCCACTGTCAAGCAAATTATGCATAAATGCATTGTTATATTAAACAATAACAATGCAACACATACAATAATGAATTTGATAGTGCCACTATTTGGTAAACAACATAATATCCCTCAAAGTCTTTCTTGAAAAAATCACTTGAATGATTTGGGAGGAGGGGGAGAGAAAGCAAACTAAAGAAAATGCTTGTTTCCAAAATCTTAAGAATTGGAGTAAAACAATAAGGCAAGCTATGGAGAAAAATAATTAGCAATTATTCCAATATACAATTCAAGGGAAAATAATGTAAAATGTTTCATACAGGATATAAGAATCCAACAATTTTTAAAATAGACAAATCATTCAATGTTGGAAATGCTTCAGTAAAATAGGAATATTTTACCACTTGTGGTCATGTAAAAAAAATGCAAATAGAAAGAAATATATCAAAACTGCAAAATTCTACAGACAAAACTTTAATCAAAACCTCATATTTTATTACTAGATAATTCCAAAACACCTAAGTGAAATATAGCACAATTCGTTAATCTACATGTTAATAGCTGCAAAAATAAATAAAAAATTCAGAAAAAACTTTGCTGATAATATGAGATTAGGAGAAATTGGAATATTCAAAAATGCAAAATTGATAGTGTTGTGCATATGCATAATTAAAATTTAAATTCCAGCAGGAAGGGTTCTATAATATACTACAGCAAAGAAAATTTAGGTTTCTATAAATGGAATCAAAAATAATAATGAAATTACCTATTAGCCATTATCAATGTTCAATGTAAAGTGCAAATGTTTAGGTTGTAGTTAGCAATTTGGAAATAAATGGGAAGGAAGGGAAGAATACATTAAAAGTTTTTCCTTAATGGTTTTTCACTAATGTTTTATTATTTTTTCTCCACATCTTTATTCTTTTGTCAAGAAAATTAAAAAGTGTTTTGATATACCTGACTCCACTTCCTCCATTTGTGAAGAATTCTGGCAGCATTCAGTAGTCTTGTTTCCATTTCTCAATACATACATACAAATGCACCTGCATAAATTTTAGTTCCATAAGTGTAATGGTATATGGGAATGATTTTAGGAGACAAGTTGCTCTTCCTGGTTCAGGCGCGCATGCACACTCCAGTTTTGGCACATGGTGCCAAAGGGGTTAACTATCATTGGACTAGGCCAGTGGTAGCCAACCTTTTTCTACTTACTGCCCACTAATGGATCTTTCTTGATGGAAAAATTTCCTTACCACCCACCAGTTTTTGCGCAAGTACGGAACATTTTTTAGAAAGGAGGGTGTTTTTTCTAAAAAAGTACGTACATTTATCTTTTTATTTCTACTTTATGCATGTTTATAATGTTTTAAACTTTATAAACACTGCTTACTCTCCTTTATTTTATCCCCTTTTCTCTATTTTTCTTCCCTTTTTTGTTAATTTTTTTTAAAAAAAATTCTTATCTTTTCCTTTTTATCTCCTTTTTTTTACCTTCCTTAGGGCAACGTACAAAGGTAAGGCTGAGCTAGTTAGCCCACTTATTATTATTAGCCAACAATTCTCTCCTGCCTATAACTTTTCTTCTATTTTGCAACTGCTCTGTTCGGCTTCTGCCTGTCCCTGCTATTGCCTCCCCCCCTTTCCCTTCCCACGTGTTTGCTTCTCCTATTTTGCAACTGCCCACTCGCTCAAAAGGAGGTTTTAACCTCCGAAGTCCCTACTGCCCACCTGGAATCCCGAAACGCCCACTAATGGGCGGTAGGGACCAGGTTGACGACCCATGGACTAGGCAATAGTCAAATAAGCCTGCAGAAGGAATAGGGCCATGGCAATATCTCCGAAGAGGCTGTAATTTTCTATACTGTAATGGGAGGGGGTGTTATTTTCAGACTTGCAAGATTCTGTTAATGTAACCTTATAATAAAGACAGAGCTAGTAGTTCTGGGATATATGATTGGATTACTCGCAAGGCTAATTGGACAACCTCTCAAGGTCGGCTGACACCCATCTTGTAAGTCTGTATTTCACCTCCTACCCCCTAAAGTTCTATGATTAAGAAGGTATCTCTTATGAGCATACTATCTGTATATCGTATACTTCTCATTGCTTGGTAATGTTGCCTATCTCTATCAAGGTTGTATTCTCCGAAAAGGCATATACAATTTGCTGACCATAGGCTGTGTGCAGCCTTGGACAGCTAGTAATGCAGTCTCACAAGATTATAAACTTTTAACATTGTTACATGTTATTTATGTATATTAAATATATTATATATTTTATATGGGGCCCAATATAATTCCTATTGACTGGCCCAGGCAAGCCTCAAACCAGGGGCCCCTAACCCCTGGGCCACGGCCTGTTCAGAACCGAGCTGCGAAGTGGTGAGTGAGTGCAAGCGTGTATGCGCACACAACTCCATTTGTTCATGCGACATGCTTGCA